TTAAAACTTCTCACCAATGGCAATAACAACGGTAACAACCTGGAATTTTACAGTGTAGAACAACTTATAAATTCCTTCGATAACCCTGGGGGACAAAACATTGCCATTCCCACTGGAAAAACAAGTTTTTCAACGCTGAGATTAAGATCTAACAATTCAAATATGATGCAAAACCAGTAGGAAAAATGTATCAGTTCTGAACCCTGAGCTGGTACTCGAACTTGCAAGTCAAATTTGAAACGTTGAGAGAGTAAATTTATTTATGGCAGCTGCCCCAGGGTTGATGGGAACCTTCCAAAGGAGATGCAAATTCACACCCTGGGCTGTTGTGAACGAGATGCAAATCCCAAATCCTGCCCGGTGTGAAATGTTCCAAAATGCCTCTGTGGCCATGACCCACCTCCAGGTGTTCCAGCGATTCCAAAAGCTGCAGCTGCTTCACTTGCTCCTCATTTTTGGTCTTGATTCGGAGAACCTGGTGCCTGCAAGAGATCCGTGTCTTCAGAACCAGTCTGAGAAGGGGGCTGGGTGAACTGGTTTGTTCGTGGGATCGTTAATTCCGTGTTAATTGTGTGTTAATGGCTCGTTTAATCAGTGATCTGGTGTCACCCAAGAGTTCAACCAACAACGCGCGCTTTCCTCATCACCCAGACAACGTGGATGAGTTTTAAATCAAGGATCAATCCTGAAAATCCATCGGTGGTGGGAAAACAAAATTCCAGTGGAGCTGGGGAAGGATGGGATGTCTGGGGGGGCAGAGCAAACACGGGATTTGTTTCACCTTGCTGGGTTAGAGGCTGACACAGCCCAGGGCGGCTCGCACCATTCCAGGTGGGATGATTCAGCCTCGCTGCACCGCTGGAGCCAGCAACCCAACAGCTGGAGCACAGCCCAGTCATTGCACAATTAGAAACCTTTTTACGATGGAAATGAGGTGAAATGAGGTGAAATGAGGTGAAATGAGGTGGAAAGAGGTGGAAAGAGGTGGAAAGAGGTGGAAAGGGTCTCGCACGCGAGCTCGGCTATGTGGGTGTTTATTTACAGAGCTGACAAGGGGCTCGTGTACACCAGGATCCTCTCCCTGGCCACAGGAGAGAAAATCTCTTTGTTGGAGAGAGTTCAATCAGCTCTGAAGGCACTTTTCCGCATTAATAACTTATTACTGGATTCTCCATCGCTATAAGTTTTATCTCAGCGTTGGATTCTGCTGTGAATTACCCACAGTTGAGGAATGGATTCATGAGAATTCAGTTCAGGAATAAATGATCAAAATAGCCCCTCCCGGCTTTAGAAATCCCTGAGTTTTGGGATATTATTTTTTATTCTTCATCCTTAAACCTTCATACATAGATTTACTCACTGGAATCTCGTGCTCACTCACTGCAGCTCCGGGTTTATCCAGGAGGATTTTATAATCTTTCATTATTAAAATGATCAGTGAGGCTGTGAGGAAATACCCCATGGGATAATTTTTGCTATGGAATATAAAGACGACCTTTTAGAATTTAATGGTTGGAAATCAGGATTTGAAATACTTAGAAAGGCAGAAAGAAGAGGAAGAAAAGGAAATAAGAGACTTGATGGCAGAAAAAAGGGAGCTGAGGACAGGTTCAGGTCTTTCAGCTTTGCTTTTGCAGTGAAGTTCAGCTCCAGCCAAAATCAAGCCTTGGATGAGCAGGAATTGAGAGCTGGACCATTCTCCTTAGAAAACCCAAAGGAAAGTAAAGAGAGGTTCCCTCAAACACCAGAGCAGCAAAGCAACAAGAACAAGCAGTCACAAAAACCAAAAAACCGAGCCCCAAGCAGATTTTGTCGACACCATGAAAAACAACAATATACCAACCCTAAATGAAAGATTTTCCACAAAATTGCCACTCACCCAACGAAGGTTTCCAGGCACAGGGAAGCCCCGATGAGGGCGCTGAAGATCAAAAGCAGCTTCATGTTTGCTGGAAGTTCAGCTGGGCCTGGCAAAGGGGAATTTATACAGAGCTTTAGTTTTCAGATAAAACACATCCGGTAGAAGCTATCGCCCCATGTGATCAACTTCTCACATTTATCGGAGCCTTCAAGGCCACCAGCAGGCAAGAGGCCGATTTCACCTCCAAAAAAATATTTTCCACTGACACATCCAAGCCGGGGTGGGGGGGAGGAGTCGGTCCCAAAGCCGTGACCACAAAAATGTGCGTGTCCTTTCACACGTTTTCCAGGGCAGAGGGAAACAGGGTCAGACAGAACTCCTGGGGGTCAGGAGCTCTGCCAGCCTGCTCTTGGCCATTTGCACTTGTCCATTCCTTGTTCCAGAGGATATTTGAGTAGTTGTTGTTCGGGTGGGATATCCTGCCTGAGCTTTGGGAATAATTTCCCATGGGAACATCCAGCTGTGGCTGTCCCACAGTTGTAGGTGCCACAGGGCTGCTGGATAAACTTTGTGTTTATCTAAATCAAAAGGTTTCTGAGGGACAGCCAGGAGCTGACCCTGCTGTCACATCTGGGGCTCGAGGGGAGAAGTTCAGCTGCTCAATCCACCTCAGGAGAACCAGGAAAGGAATTCCCAGAGGAAACTTTTAATAAAGATCTCAGTTGTGTCCCTCAGCATTTGTCAGCACCTTCCTGAGGAGTCTCAGCTCCACTCCCACCCTACTCCTCCCCAGGTGTCCTGTTGTGTTCACAGTTCCAGGTAAATCTTTTGTCCCCTGTTTTGGGGAACAAAGGGAGCCCCGGGCAGGGATTAGTCCTGCTTTGGTCTCTAGCATTGAGTCATCTTGTAACTGCTGTGTCTTGGGGGCACCAGGAGTTTAACCAAACCCAGTCCCTGGGGAAAAAGTTCTCCACTCCCTCAACCTAAACCAAATAACAAAAATTTATCCCAAGAGACAGGAATCATCACAGGAATTTGCTGCTCCTGGAACTACAGCAGCTCTGGTGGAAGTCAAATCCCACCTGTAGCTTCCAGACTCCAATATTTCATAGGGAATCAACTGACAGTCCACACCACAGGCCACGGGTCACTCTTTGAAAACAGGAAGGAGGGATTTAATCTAGAGCAAAATGAGAGCTTCCTTCATTACTCATGCTACATCCCACATGGATTTAAGGGCTGCCAAGAAACCCTGCCAAACCTGATGTCAGGATCCAAAGTATCCCAGCAAGCCCTGAGTGCCCTGATCAGCATCCTCTGGGGCCTCCACCCACTGCATTTCAGGAGCTGCATCTACATCAATCCTTGGGCTCGCTCCTCATCTCCCGGGGGGCTGCAGGGCCCCAGCAAGGATGAGGACCTAAAGGGTCTGGAGATAAACCCTGAGCATCCATGAAACTGGAGAGAGTCCAGAGGAGGCCCCAGAGCTGCTCCAGGGCTGGAGCCCCTCTGCTCTGGAGCCAGCCTGGGAGAGCTGGGAGTGCTCACCTGGACAGGAGAAGGATCCAGGGAGAGCTTCCAGAACATTCCAGGGCCTGGAGGGGCTCTAGGAGAGCTGGAGAGGGACTGGGGACAAGGGACAGAGGGACAGGACACAGGGAATGGCTTCAGGTTGGGAAAGGGGAGATTTGGGAATTAGGAATTGCTGGCTGGGCTGGGATTGCCAGAGAATCCCTGGAATGTCCCAGGCCTTTGGACACTGGGGCTGGGAGCAGCTGGGACAGTGGAAGGGTTGGAACCGTGTAGACTTTGAAGTCCCTTCCCACCCAAACCATTCAGGGATTTTAAGAAGCTGAAAACATCCACGGTGCTGATCCCAAAATCCAAAGGGGGAGCAGCAGGAAGGCAAAGGTGACACAGCAAAGGCAGGTGGGAGAAGGGACCTCACCACGAGCAGCAGATCCCACGGGATCCAAGCAGGAGGAGCAGGGCAGGTCTGGTGGCACTGAGCAGCTCCAGGTCCTCAGACAGCTCCACAGCCAGGCTGGCACCAAGCACAGCTCCAAGTCCCCCCCCTGAGCCCAGTGCAGCTCAAGCAAGCCCCAAAACAATTGGGCTCAGCTTAAATGCAGGCCGGGGTGGGTGGAGGGTGCGTGGGTGAGGGCAGGCAGGGCTGTCCTGCAGAGGCTGGGGAGTCACTCTGTGAGTCAGGAGCACCCTGGGGACACCTGAGCCACTGACAGGCTCAATCTCAGCCAAACAAACCCTCTCCTTGCCTAAAATCACTGTATTGGCCTTAAAAACTCCCTGTGCTGTCACTGAGAGAGGCCAGAATGGCCTCAAAAATCACTAAATCTCAGTGGACTCAGTCCAGTTTTGTAAAATCCAGACCCTTTGTTGTTGTTGCCTCAAACGATGCAAACCAAGACCCAGTGTTGTACCCTCTCCTGTCATTTTTATGAAAAAAAAAAAAAAATCCCAGAAACTTTTCACCTTTGGATAGAAATATTTCACTGACATGGCAAAAGACTCCACTGGCAACTCATCTCCTGGATATTCAGAGTTAATTGGCTATAATGCAATTTATTTTGGATTACTGATGAGGGAATTATTATTTCTGTAAATAATGCATTGCCTCAGTGTCCCTAATCCCCCCTGGAAATGCCCTGGATAAAGAATGAGTAGGGATTTCAGTATGTGGTTTACCATTTGAACACTTAGAATTAAGTTTAGAAGCAGGACCCATATTTTTGATGTTTCTGAAAAATCTGTAGCTTTATGTCAGTGTAATAAACTTGGGTCCAAGGCAGCCACATATTTCCAACACAATTTTCCTTAAATTAGGAAATCAAGGCATTCCAGTGTGGAGGGTTATCCTCAGACACACAACCCTTTCCATTTACAGCATTTCAGAACAGAAATATGAAGTCACACCTGCACAAAAAAATTTTGAAGTCCTGCATGTGTTGGAAATGAGATAACTTTCCTAACTAATTTTTAATTGGTTATTTTAATTATTTGTGAGCAGTGTCCACTTTTAACCAGCACTAGTAAAGCTTCTCCACAGACCTTTATTATTACTTTGATTCGTTAATTCAGTTTGTTGAAACTAACCCTGACAAACTTCAATTAACAGACCCAAAGAATTTGAAGACTGGGCATGTGAGATATTAAATTTGTGGCACTTCAAGGATATTGGAGTAACCAGAAAATGAGAGGAAATTAAGGCCTTAAAGGTAGGAAACTCCATGTCTGAGAAAAAGAGAACAAAATTACTGAATAATTTGGATCAGATCAGTATAAAAAGTGAGGAAATTAATAGGGAACACAATAATAATTAATGAAGAGGATTGGGCAATTTAGAACCAATGAACATTAATTTGCTTGTTAAAATATACAAATAAGTGAAAAAGTTTTATGGTGGAGCTCAGGTGGAGGCCTGAACTTTTGTCAGCCACACACACAAACCTTGGCCAAGAATAAATACCTGACTTGGTAATATTTTTTAAAAGTCAGTGTTAAGAATCTTATTTATCCCCACGGTTTCGGTGACACTGTACAGAAATATGAAGTTGTGCTTGCACACAAATACAAAGTTACACTGGAAAGATAAAACTTGCACAGCACACAAATAGACCTAAAACTCCTTAAAATTTTACCTGCTGTGCCAACGTGTTGTTCTGACACTCATGGCAACGTGTAATTAAATAATTTAACTGCAAAGACAAGTAAAAAAAACGAAACAGGAATCAGAGCGAAACGCGTCCCCGTGAGGGCTCCTTCGCCCCCCCCAACATGGCGGCTCCCCTCACGCCCTTCCCGCCAAAACCCAACCGCGAGCCCCGCCCCCTCCGCCCCGCCCCCGGCGCAGCCGGTGACGCAACGCGAGCGCCCGCGCATGCGCAGAGAGCGCGAGGCCGCGGCGGCGTGAGGGGAGCGGAGACGGCGGGCGGGAAAAAAGGGAAAAAAAAGAGCCCGGCCTGAGGGGAGAACGGGACAGATCTGCGGAGAGGTGAGGGGAGAGCTGGGGAGAGGGGAGGGGAGAGCTGGGGGAGGAGGAACGGTGAGGTTTGGGGAGGAGGAGCGGAGAAATTTGGAGAGGGAGGTTGGAGGGGAGAAGGGAGGTTCGGGGAGGGGGACCCGAGGGGAGGTTTGGAAATGGTGAGCAGAGAGGTTTGGGGAGGAGGAGATGGAGATTTGGGAATGGTGAGCAGAGAGGTTTGGGGAGGAGGAGATGGAGATTTGGGAATGGTGAGCAGAGAGGTTTGGGAG